AAAACTACGGAAACTAAAGGAAAAATTAGAAGGAAGAAAAAGATAGGAAAAGATAAAAGAAAAGATGAGTAGCAGTAAAAGTCCAGGAAGGAGAGGAAAAAAGGAGGAAGAAAAAGAAAAATCTCTAAAGAAGCAACTTTTGATCTTCTACAAACACGGTTATTACCATTTCTGCCCTCCCAGATTCCATACCGCGGTTCCCTTCTTCCCATAAACAGCCCTTTTTAATCAACAGATCCCAAGATCATCACTTCAAAAAAGGGAGAGTTTTCACAAGGGGGGAAATCTTTTGTAAAATTAACTCATGAGGAATTGCGGGCATTGGGGTGTGGGGAAGATGTGGGTCCAGCGGGTACCACTTTCGCATCTCTATTACAAAATGCAGTAAATGTCAAGCAACGGTGCTCAGAAATGTGTGAGTTCTCTGTTTTGGAAAAGGCAGTATTTTCCACTCAGAGGATGCTGCGAGAGGTGTTACTATGGCAGAGATGCTGTGACATCTTACAATATCTTGTATGGTTCATATTATGGTAGTGAATTCATTAGTAATCCGGTGACTGTTGATAAGTACTGTATATAGATCTTCTTCCTTTGTTTCTTAGCTTGTATTTTTAGTTGGTCCTTTTAATTTCTTTAGCCTTTTCTTTTTTAAGATGAAAGAGGGTCTTGTTAGTTGTCTATGTGTAAATGAAAAAAGAAAAGCTAACAGAAAAAAAAATACAAAAAAATAGTTCAACCTTCAAATCACAGGGACTGGTTTTCAAGATTTCGTGATTATTCCCTACAACAATAAAGTGCTATTCCTGGAATCTCTGAGATATCTGTATTTCGACCTGATCTACCTCGGACGGGTGTGACCAATCTTGGAAACCTGTTCAGGTTGCTTTCCGTCCCATTTTATACGAAAGAAAATCAAGGCAGGGATTGCTTGAGATTCTTTCTCACCTGATCCTCTTCCTTGGGACTGTATAAATTTTTTCTGCAGATCTCCCTGAACAGCTTGTTTTGTTCCTTCCTTGTCCCCAAGGCTGGTCCTAAATTCCTTGATAGGGACATAAAAAGTGTGTGTGTGGCAAAAGAAGAAATAATGCACAAATGAAAGGCTGTGGAGTGAATGTGGGTTGGAGAGAACAATGAAGGGCCCATGAAAGAAATAGCTTGTGGTTTGGAAGGATACAGAGAATGAATGACGGCTGGAATAAATCTATGAAGGCATGAATGGATCAGGATGGATGGAGTGCATGGATGACCGTTGGTGCAGTCTTTAGAAAGGAAAAGAAGTGTTAAAAAGAAAAGGCAGTGTGTGAAGCAGTGTTTGGGTGTGCAAGCCAGGGGGGAGAGGGGGGAAATGGGGTTGGTATAAACTCCATTTATTTTTGTAGAATTATTTTTTTTAAAAGGAACAGTAAAAATTTTGAAAGAAAGAATAAGAATTTAAAAATTAAAGGAAGAATAGGAATTAAAAAAAGGAAAACTGAAAAAAGAGAAAATAGTACAGCTCCAAAGTGCAGAAAAGAAAAAGAGAGAGAAACTCGTGTAAAGAGAAACTTGTGTAAAGGGGACAAAAAAAAGAATTGACTTCCAACCCTCCTTGCAACAGATATAAGTAATAATATCCATCAAGTTCTTGCTCTAAATTTAACACATAACTTCCATTATTTCTATTAACCCGTATTGTTGCTAACCATCAAATCCATACAACGTAATTTCATTTCCCCCCCCTGTTTGGTATAAACTGCATTTAGCCACAATTCTTTGCCTCCCCTGATCTCATGCCTTGAGTTTCTCCGACGTGCCCTTTTTTACTCTCTTCCTGCGCATTGCATCAAAACAGAACAGCCCGGTGGGTCTCTCTAGGCCAGGGACTTAAGCAGGCGCATTTCCAAGCGGGCACAATTTTGCCTCTCTTTCAAGAGCCATGAGTTTCCCCTCCTTAAACAACAAAAGTCTTGGAAAGGATGGCTTCTGATAGGACGTCTCCAAGGGACCAGCCCCGTCTGGTATGCCAAATGGGCCACTTTTTCATTCCGGGGGAGGAAAATCCCCGCCTTGGGTCCGCCAGCTGCTTTGTCATGGTGAGAATTTCTGCCTGGATCCTGTTTCCTTTCAGATCCTTGGTGTGGGTGTTCCCTGGGTTGTGCCTCTGGCCAGCCAGTGATGCCGAGAGCGCGCCTCCTTTGCACCGTCATGCTGAGCTGGGGCTCTGTGGATGATAACAGGAGGAAAAATGGAGAAGCCGCCTGTGCCTCTGTTTGTTTCTGCCTTCTTGGTGAAGAAGACCTGGAGGACTCCTTGGGGCAGACCACCCCACACATCTGCCTCTCGGCACCCCAAAACTCAAGCCTACCATCACTCTGCCTTTGCAGAATGGGTTATATTCTGCAAAGTGGCTGTAACAATAGATCCTGTAGGAAGGATCTGTTGGTTTCTACAGACTAAAATTTGCCATTTTCAGGAACTCTTCCAGATCTGGGAAAAATGAACAGGGGCAACAGCCGGTGTTCCCACAAGCTTGATTTTGACTTATTTTTAGGGCCGTCAAAAGTAAAAGAGGTGGGTTAAGACTCTGATGGGGTTGAACACACCTCTTTTACTTTAAAAGTAGCTTTTTTGATGCTTGGGAGATGTTTGTTGTTTGCTTCTTTGTTTAAGAACAAATCTGAGTTCTTTTCCAGCTGCAGAACGTTTGCCCGTTTGCGATTTCAGCCCAAGCTCAATCTGCAAGCTTTGTGCATTCAAGGATGCGGTTGGTTATCTGAATCTGCCTCTGGCATTGCTAGGGAAAAGAAGTTAAACGTTGGACTAGATACGAATGCGAAGGTTTCTGAGCTTAGAATGAGCCGTTGGAGCCGCAGGGCAGCAAAAGGATTGCCCATCATTCAAGGTTGTGTCCAGATGAAGCCCGTGATAAATCTTTGCCATGATCTTGGATTCTGGCCCAATTTTACACCCCACGCTAGCCAAACGAGCTGGGACTTGAGTTATGGTGGCTTAAGAGCTTCAGGATTTGGTGCAAAGTTAGCTATGAAGTTGCCTTAACATGTCCCCTGGCAGAATTGAACTTGCAGGGCAAGTTTGCTTTAGAAATCCGTTCCTCTGGAATGGTATCTTTCCTCCAAGGGGGATCTGGAAGGTTAGTAACATATTCTTAGAATGTGGATAAATTGCTCAAGACAGTCATTATGGTTTTATGCTGGGGGGGGGGAGTGACATCATGCTAAGCCCACCCAGCAGACTCAGAGACATTCTTGGAGATCCTCAAGTCTTTGGTGAGCAGATCACGCAACATGAGCAGATGATGGATTAGAAAGAAAAGATCACAGTTGGGAAGGTTGAGGGAGGTAGAAGAAGTGGAGAACAATGAATCACCGGGATGGTTAGGTCAGAGATGTTACTGTCCTTGGAAGAGTTGCTAATTATTGCTAAAAGTAGGTCAGAATGGACCACCTGCGTCCAGGCACTCAGCAGACGTTGAACTTGGCTTGATGGCACCTCACTTTCTAACTAGCTAGGAAAGAGTTGGGAGGTGGTTTGTCACCACTTTCTTTCAAGATGCTTGAGCGCTGAGATGTCCATCTCGATACCCAGCTACAGCCTATATACTGATTTCTAAAAAAACTATTATGCGTATAGCCATGCAGCCTGATGTGCCAGGAAGAGATCAGGTTGTTTTAAGGAGTCTCGAAGGAGCGCCGTTCATGCCTCGTGGAGTTTGATGGGCCTTTTGGCCTCTGAATCCAGAGCACTCCATATGGACCCCAGTTTGATTTAATTTAATGCCATTTTTGTACCAGCTTACCCAGTCTTCTTCCCTGGCCCTGCTTTCCCCACTGGCGTGCGCGCGTGCATGTAGGTAAGATTTTTTATCCCGCCTTTCCTATTTTTATAAATAAGCCAGCGAACATACCTAATACTCTTTCTTCCTCCTGTGTTCCCCACAACAACAACCCTGTGAGGTGGGCTGGGCTGAGAGAGAAGGACTGGCCCAAAGTCACCCAACCAGCTTTCACGCCTAAGGCGGGACTAGAACTCACCGTCCCCTGCTTTCTAGCCTGAAAATTCCTGGAATATTCCCGGAAGGCGACCTTGGGGGGAAAAAAAGTTTTGCGCCCTGCTCCATTACCCGGTGCCGCCTAAACCATGCCAAGGAGCGGCCATTTTCCCCCTCTTTCTTAACAAAATAAGCTTGCAGTAGCCAAGGAAGAAAAGCTGCTGGTTAATACTTTTTCTGTCCTGCATATCTACGGCCGATTCATCCCTCTTCTCTTGCTCACCTTTCCAGGCGGCATCGCGGGAGGCATTGAAATCTGCATCACGTTCCCCACCGAATATGTGAAAACGCAACTGCAGCTTGACGAGAAGGCCAACCCGCCACGCTATAAAGGCATCGGTAAGATTGGGTTGGGCGGTTCAGTTTCTAGATCGGTCTGCTGGACCGCTGTTCGCTTACCCCAAACAAGCCAGAACTCAAACTAGCCCGTCTGATCCTTTTGAGGGAACTACGTAGTACCATCCGTATGTCAGAAGATGGTATGAGAACCTGGACTTGCAAGATTTCCCATTATTAGTGACCTCCCTTGCATGCATCTGGAATCTTTTCAACAATCTTTTTTTTTCCCCCCTAAAGGGAAAAAAAAAATTGAATTTTGGCCAATTTCTCAGCGATTTTAGTTCAACTTCTCACACTTTTCCCTCGGCAGCGTCTTTTCACCCTGTCTCCCAAGGTCTTTCTCACATACATTACACGGGTCTTCATTTTTACACATCTGTTTCCTTCTGTCTCTCTGTTTGACTTTCACCCCTTTGACCTGGTTGCTTTTCTATAATAATGCAGGTATTTTCCCTTATTCTTTTCTTTTTTATGCTCAGTGGATTGTGTCCGAGTGACGGTGCGGGATCATGGGGTCAAAGGGCTTTACCGAGGACTCAGCTCGTTGGTGTATGGTTCCATCCCGAAGGCTGCTGTGAGGTAAACATCTACTGGACACACCTTGGGGGAGTCAGGTCTGGTGTGAAGGCACAGGTGGGCAATGTGTGAGAGGCTGGCCTTAGGAGTGTGCAGAATCTTTTGAGTTGAAAACATTTCAAACATGAAAAGTTATTCCTACTGCTTCTAGATATGAGCCAGTTTCAAGTTTATCATTCATAGAACAGGTCAATCCAGAGTTCTCCCACCAGGTACAACTGACAAGGCCCAAATCATCATATTTTGAACACATGAAGCAAAGACCTAGTTCTCTGGAGAAGTCTATAATGCTGGGGAAGGTGGAAGGAAAGAGAAGAAGAGGACAACCAGCAGCAAGGGGGATGAACTCAATTATAGTGGCGAGAGATGCACTGTTGGAAGACCTGAAGGACCAGGTTGGGGACAGATGGTTGTGGAGAAAATTGACACTGACTTAGTCACACATAATCAGTTCAAACTCAAGACCCGTTCTGAGCTTTGGAAGTCAGAAGAAGCATTTCACAAGCAAAATGTTTTGCTTATCCCACAGTATAATCTTCTGGGCTAATATCCCCAGAAGAACCATGGCTGCCATTTCTCCCTCTCCCTCTTCCTCCTCTTTCTTCTCATTAGCCTTCAAAGACGTTTTATGGGTAGAAATGGAAACCATTTGAAAAGCTGTAATGGGAAGAAGGAAGAACCTTGAGGAACAGGAGGAAGAACCACAACCAAGACAACAGTCCGATAAAAGAAATCTGAGTCTGGGGCAGAAGTGTGATATGAGAAAGCGTCTCAGACAAGTTCCTCCTTAGTTCTCATGAAGATAAAGGCAGGGACCAGGGAAGCGTATTCAGACTTAGGAGATTCTGTTACTGTAACCTTATAATAAAAGTAGTATTAGCATTCTTATCTCCCCAGTCTGGTCTACCTTGAAGTGCTGACAAAAGCTGAAAATCGTGCCGCTGAAATCAAGCCATTTTACTGTCACATTTCGGGGACATAACAAACTTTGCTCCAAGCCTGGGAATTATTAACCCGGCTCTAAGTTATCCTCTGCTCTGCTTTTCTCTTTATGCACTGTATGAACTCAGCCTGCTGTGATTTTGTTTCTTTATGCCCTTCCTTTGCTCTTTACACTTAAAACAGGTTCTTTAGGCGTGTATAAAGCAGTGTTTCTCAACCTTGGCAGCTTTAAGATGGGTGGACTTCAACTCCCAGAATTCCCC